CCAACAGTTCTGTCTGGACTTCTCAGTAGAGGCAGGATGAACAGTACTGGTTTACCTGTGCAAGATCTGCCTTTTGAGATTGCAGGGCTCAACCTTGGCCTTTGGGAAGGTCAGATTCAGTTCATTTTGATCATTACATACTAAAGTGTTGGCAGGCTTCAATAGGGAGACACAATTGTATTTAGGTTTTTTTTTTTTAATTTTTTAATTTTTAAGAGCTGGTAAGCAATGCAAAATATCTCAAATGGAGGGAAAATTTAAAAATGAGATGCTGGGAAGGGATGAATTCCAAGAAGACTGATCAAAGTCTTAATAGCAATTCGTGGTAGGAGACTCATTAGCTTGACTTGTCTTTTTGGTACGTTTATCAGGAGACAAGCAGGTGCACACAGTGTGGAAGAACACAGGGAAAGCTCAACCAGTAGATACTGTGGTAATCTTGGTAATCATATGGGACTGCATGAATTAAAGGAGGAAAAGCCACAAGAGTCATTACCCCAAATTTCATACAGCTGGAAATGGGAAGTCCTCTACTGCATGTTCTCCAAGGGCCCTGCTTGAGAATGGGAAAACTGTCTCTACTCCCCCTCTGTCCTCTGAGCAACTTCCTTTAGTTCTACCCTTCACTGTCACACTTGTTCACGCACCAGCACAGGCCTGTCCATTGCGCCTATCCTCTCTCTAGAGCTCCTGCTCACCCTCGGCCCACAGGCCACATTTTCATTTGGGTGTCTTCTAGTTTAGTCAGTTGAACTTCCATGAAAAACGAGGTCTAAAAACCAGCTCTTCCCACCTCCCTGACTTTTCTAAATCCAGCAACATTTAAAAAATAAAATTGTTCAGGGATGCCTGGGGTGCTCAGTCAGTTAAGTATCTGCCTTCAGGTCAGGTCAGGATCCCAGGGTCCTAGAATTGAGCCCACATGGAGGGGGGATTCCTTGCTCAGTGGGGAGCCTGCTTCTCCTTCTCCCTCTGCCTGTCACTCCCCCTGCTTGTATTTTCTCTCTCTCTCTCTCTGGCAAATAAATAAATACAATCTTTTCTAAAAATTTAATTATTTTAAATAGGTAATACAGTTACATGTTTTTAAAAAACCAAAACCATAAAAACTTACACATGAAAAATCTTCTTTCTTTCCTTTTCCCATGTAGCCAGTTCTGACTACTTGCAAGAAGTTCAACTTTCTTCACATATACAAATATGACTATAAATTTCCTTCCTTTTTACTCACAAGAGAGTATGTTCTTCATACTTTCCTGAACTAGGTGTTTGGGCACCTACTGTTGTATAACAAATACCTCTAAATTTAGTGACTTAAAGCAATTTATTATTCTCTCTCATAGTTGGGTGGGTTCATTAGGCTCAGCTGGGTACTTCTTGCTTCGGTTTCTTACCCACATATGGTTGTAGTCAGATGTTGGCTTGTGCAAAGGTGAGGTGAAGACTCAGTTGGACTGCATGTCCAAAATGGCTTACACATGGCCAGCCCTTGATGTTGGTTGTCGAATGAGAACTCAGCTGCCAAAGCACCTCCACGTGGTCTCTCTAAGCAGCTTGGGCTCCTCACAGCAAGGAAGCCGGACTCTGAGTGAGAGCATCCCAAGAGCGAGCACTCTAGGTCGATTAAGGGCTACTTCTGGAGCAGGCACTGTTATTTCTACCATATTCCATGGGCCACAGTAGTCACAGGGCTAGCCCAAGATAAAGGGAATGGAGGAAGATACCCTGTCTAGTCATGGGGGAGTAGAGAGATCATATTGCAGAAAATGTCTTGGGGGATACAAGGTCCAGAGTTGGTCATCTTTGTAAAACACAATGGGCGACACCACCTGGAATACTTTTCTTCTTCTCCTAACACATGTTAGGCCGGAGGATCTTTCTTTACAATGTCTGACATCTCACCTCCCCCAGTGTCCACTGACCCCACTAATTCAGACCCTCATTTCTTTGTAGCTAGTTAAATGTCGGCATTATCTTCCCAGTCTCCAATTTCCCCTCGCTGCAAATAGACAATAAAACTTGTGTTTTCTTACCATAGGTATTTCCATAAACTTTAGCCTTAACGATTGTCATTCTCCTAAAAATCGGCTCTGGTACTGAATGGCTGTTTGACTTGGGTGATGTTGACACATATAGGATTTACATGTTTTTTTGTTTGTTTGTTTTGTTTTTTAAACTTCCAATATTGCAAAATTGGGAGATTTTCTGTAAAAATCCAGATTAAGCTCCTTTTGAAAAATTGAATTCTCATATATGGAAAAATTCTTCAACTAATATGTTCTCGATACTGAACAAAAGGAAAAAAAATCAGGTCTTTGTAACAGTTACATTCTTGTGGAAAAGCAGATAATAGATGAAATGAGTAAGTAAAATATATGGAATCTTGGATGGCAATAAGCTCTGTGGAAGGTTAGAAGGAGAGAGAAAAAGGAGCGATTGGGAACGGCTATAATTTAAAATCACATAGTTGTGGAAGGCCTCCCTGAAATGGGCATTTTAGTTAAAAAAAAAAAAAGGAATATACAGGAAGGGAAACATGGATTTTTAGAACCTTGCTTTCCAATAGGGTAGCCTACAGCCATCTGTGGCTAACTAAATTTATATTAATTAAAATCAAATTAAAATTAAAAATTCAGTTTTTCAGACACACCAGCTACATTTCAAGTGCTCAGAAGCCACATGTGACCACTGGTTACAAAACAGATAGAGACCATTTCCACCATTGCGGGAAGTTCTGTTGCTTGGCGTTGCAGAGGAAGAGTACACCAGACAGAGGGCACAGCAAGTACAAAGGTCCCGGGTTGGGACATGGCTTGATTTGAGCTAAACAGTGGCATAGCTCTTCTGTTTACACATTTCTACATTCCCTATTGTCTGCCTTCTACTATGGCTGTGTGGCAATTAACCTTTACCACCGTAACCCAAGCCAGCTTTCCAAAGGCCCTTAGGGAGATTGAGTTTTAGACTCTTGATTAGTGCCGTACAATCCACGGGCTGAAGTCTCAACTCCTTGGTCTTACACTGAGAAGCTATGTGGAAGAATGGGAAGACTGAGAAACTGGGATGCCAGAACACCGGTGTTCTATTTTGGAGCAGAGTAGGCTAACGGTGTGATTCAAAATTACTGGGGGGTGATCTGGCACAAGCCATAACAGAGTTCTGTTAACCAAAAGTGTCTTGGAGGACCTCTTCTGGACCAGGACTAAATGTCTAGTGGACCTCTAGTTGGTATTTCAGGGGGACGTTTGGAGTACAGGGTGCTCCAGACAATGACTGATTACCTTAAGCGTTATATAAACTGGTATAGTCTTACATGATAACACAAGGGGAATTTCAGCCTGGAATAAATATATGTGATAGGTATTTGGAAACGGGAAAGGGCTATGGAATTCACTGCAGAGCTCTTTCCAGTAAACACGCACACCTGAAGGTGACAGGATTTAAGGCCTTCTGCAATGTCTGACCAGCATCTATTCTAGTATTTTTTCCCTGCTTCTCCATTGTGCTGTCCTTTTCTCTCAGCAGTATGATGTAATCAGTGCCCAATAGGTTCGGTGTCTTACCACCTTGGTGTTTTTCTCATGTATTTCTTCCTTACCTAAAGGATCTTCACCTTCCTTTCTGCATGATACAATCTTCTACTCTTGACCTTACAACACAACTCAAACTCCTTTGTTGACTTTTTTTTTTTTGCCCATCCCAGGCCAGAAACATTTCTCACTTCTATGGCCTGGAATGTTCATTATCCATACTCACTTGGCAATTACTAAGAATACAAGGCAATATCTTTGTTTTTCTATTATGTTTTTCTACTCCTGGGCAAAAAAGTCTTAAGTTCCTTGAGGGCAGAGATCACAGGTCGTTCTTCTTTTTTTTCCTAATGTGGCCTATTTCCCCATATTATGGCCAAGCATCTATAACAAGAGGGGCTGAGGGCACAGTAGTTAAACCCACTGAGAGCTCTTACCTGTAATCCTTTCTTGTCAATTCTTTTTTTTTTTTTTTAACAGGAATAAACTTACTCAATTTTAACAAGTCTTGGGCAAAGATGGGGCCCCAGTGTCCTACTGGTAAGGAGTAAAAGCCCTAGCTGGCTCTTGTTGAAGACAGACTGTGTGTGTGGGGTGTGTGTGTGTGTGTGTGTGTGTGTGACAATTCGGGGTTGTCTGGATTGTAAGGCCCTGCTGGAATAGTTTTGCTCCGGATGCTCCACTATTCCTAGCTCCTGGAACGGTGTAAACAATGATTCACACCACGGTAGGCCTATGCAGTTTACCAAGCACATTCATCACATGCATCAGGCTTTCAGGGAAGGTCAGGTTCCAACACGTTAACTGAGATTCACCTTCAGGTCACCAGACTTCCATCTCTTTGCCAAACGCCTATCATAGCCAACCAAAGTTTTCTCCCCTAGCGATGAACGTGCCAAAGAGTAGAGGCAAGTCTATCTCAACGGTGTTTCATCTGTACCAGACTATAGAGCCCGTTCTGAAGTTCTTGGGCAAAAACCGTTTTTGAGGAATAGCGATTATGGTTTGGGTCTGGACTGTGCAAAAAGCAAGGAGGGACTGGAAGAGGGAGGAGTGTCCCAGACTTCCTAGTTCACACGGTGAAGTCCAAGTCAACCCAGGCTGTTAGGTAAAAGGCGGTGAAGGAGGCTCTTCAGCCTCAAGGAAATTGGGGGTGGGGGTGGGATGGGCAGTAGAGTGGGTTGGTGGAGGATTCTGGGAATCCCGCACCTGTGGATGAGCGGGTGCCCCAGGTGTCCCACCCTCTTCCTCTTGGGTTCGGGGAGTGGCTGAGGGGGGCCGGGCCGCGGGCGGAGGTGAGCCGCCGGAGGGGGCGGGGCGGGGCGGGGCGGGGCCCGGCGCACCTGGGCGGAGAGGGGGAGGTGCGCGGGGCCGAGCCTGCCGGGGGCCGCGGCGCGCGCCAATGGGCAGCGGTTGGCAGCGCGCCCCGCGCCCGAGCCGCAGTCGCGCCCTCTCGCTGCCTGGCGAAGGCGCGGACGGCGCGCGGAGGCGAGCGCGGGGGAGACGAGCTGCCGGCGCCGCAGCCGCCGTCAGGGCATGAGGATGGCCGTGGGCTCCGTGAAGATGCAGCCGCCGTGCGAGAGCCCGGCCCTGGCCGCGGCGGCGGCCGTGGCGGCAGCGGACGGCGCCCTGCGCCGCAGCCCCAGTGCCCGCGAGCAGGAGCGCGAACAGTCGCTGGCGCCGCCACGGCCGCGGCTGAGGGACCTGCCCGCGCTGCTGCGGAGCGGGCTCACGCTGCGGAGGAAGCGGAGCGCCGCCGGGGCCCGGGTGAGTGGCCCGGACCCGTCCGGCCCGAGTGGGCACTGGCGGCGCGCACGTGGAGCCTGCGCCCACCCTCCTGGGCCGTAGAGGGGCACCTGGAAGTTGGGGGAGGTGGCGGAAGGGGCGCCCTCGTGCGGGGTCCCGGGAAGGCGGGGTCCGGGGGGTGCCCCCCCGGTGAGCAACGGTTTCCCCTTCCCCCAGATGCCCCTGACTTAACCCAGGGGCACCTGGATTTAGAGCGGCGGACCGTGGGCATCCCCGGAAGGAGGGCCGTTTGCCTCTCCCCAGAGGGGAAGCTGCAGGTGTCCCGGACCTAACTGTCGGTCAGCCCTGTCTCGGCAGCAAGCCTCAGGCCCCACAAACGGGAGCCCAGTTTTCAGGAGGTGTGAGACGCGTGAGCTTGCTTGGAACGCCCCGTGGCAAGCTTCGGGCGTCGGGTCTGGTTCTGACCGCCGCTGCCACCACCGCCACCGACGAAGTGGAGACACAGGAGTTGGAAGTTCTCCCGGCGAGCTTCTAGCTCCTGGGTTCTGGAGTCCCCAGCACTTGGTCCTTGGTGACGCCCCCTTGAGCGGGAGGGTGCACACCCTCCACCCCGCCAAATCTTAAATATTGACTTCCTGATGGTGTGTTCAGATATGATTTCCTGGTGAGGGAGTGTCCCTGGTTGTGCCTCTAAGTGCATGTAATGGCCTGAGCAGGTCGGACATGTTTTGTTTGTGAAGCGGGATGGCCTGCTGATTTTCTCCTGAGACCTTTCACAAGCCGCTCAGGAGACCGCGCCGGGGCCTCAGGCCAAGGGGCAGACCCTCGGATTTCCCTGCCCACCAGGGCTTTGGGGCAAACTTTGGTAGATTCTACTCATTTCTTTAGAATTTGTCACCATTAAGCAGGCTTTGCTGAAAAGCTGCAACAAAGTGGACTTTGGGGGAGGGGACTGTAATATTGAAGTCTTGGTTGCCTGCTTTAAAAGAAGACCTTACTGGAGGACCTGTGGCCCTTACTTACAAAGATAGGCTTGTGGAAACGTGAGTGTTGGGGAAAAACATTTGTTTTGGTGTGGCTTCCTTTGGGCAAGAAGGGTATGAATTGGTATAGGTCTTCAGCCTCCCCAGGTTGTGTTTCTCCTCTTCCTTTCAAGGTAGGGATGACTGACATGATCTGCCTCAGAAGGATATTCTGAGGATTAGCTGGATGTAGGACTTCTTAAAGTCCATGACCAGTGGAGTTAAGGAATTGCCCACAAGTGACCTGAACGTGCGGCATACAGATTGTCTGCAAAGAAAGTGAGATGTGTCCCAAAGATGTGATAGCTAAATAAACACAAGAACCAGAGTTATAGACTTTGCAAGAATCTGGGGAAAAGTAGGTCAAATCGTGTTCCTATTATCCTTGACAGTTACTTTTTCATGGCACAGAATACTGAAGACATGAGGGCAGCCAGGCAATCTGTGATGGGAATTGCTGAAGGTTTCTGTATAAATAGATCTGTGTGTTCATCTGCATAAAGGCTTGTGTTTCTTGCTGCCTGGGATGATGATGTGTGCCTTGCCAATATACATATTTGTTCTTCTTAATTATTCTGAATGTGGTTACTTCAAATAATACATACTTCATTAACCCTTCTTTGATCCTAATACTGTATTTCTTTGGGACATTCCAAATACATTTCCTAAGTACATGGCCAGTTTTTTATTGGGGAAAGGTTGTCAAATTTTCCAATGTTGGAAACCCATACTTTTCAACTATTTCCCCTTCCTTTGGCTTTGGAACCACCTTTGTGATTTTGGACCCTTCCTTAACTGAGATAGGAAGCGTTTGAAAGAAATTAAAAAACAACAATGACAGGTGGAATATGTACCTGTATGAGTCTGCTCAGGCTTTTGTAACAGAATACCATAGACTGGGTGGCTTAAACAATAGAAATTTATTTTCTCACACTTCTGGAGGCTTGACAGTCCAAGATCAATGTGCCAGCAGACTTGGTTTCTGATGAGAGCTCTCTTCCTGGCTTGCCTTCTCACTATACCCTCACATGGCCATTCCTCAATGCACATGGATGGAAAGAGAGATCTCCCTCTCTTCCTTTTCTTGTAACTCCACTAATTCCCTCATGGAAGCCCCAGCCTCAATACCAAGTCTACCTCTGAGTACCTCCCAAAGGCTCCCTCTCCAAATAGGAGAGGGGTAGGGGATAGAGCTGCAACATACGAATTTTGAAGGAATGCAGACATTCAGTCCATAACAGAAGGGTTACATAAGAAAGAGAAAAATAGGTGAAATGTGTATCAAACTAGCTGGTGACCTGTGAGCATCTGGGGTCACCTGGTTAGCCCTGTAATTAGATCAGTGGTGCTTGTGCAAACAATCATGGCTTAGATCCCTCTGTGGACTTTTAGTTTTATATTATATGGCCTGCATCTCCAGATTATAGCTGAGTGATTATGGGAACAAATAAACACAAATTTATTACCACTGGTTAAAAAGAAAAAAAAAAAGGCAGCTCTAGATATTACACAAGTTGGTAAGAAGATTTGCAATTTCTGTATTGACCAAGATTTGATTTAGGAATACGTGTGGCACTTGTCCATGCTGCCTTGGGCTCTCACAAATCTGGACAATCAGACGTCAACTGTCATCAAGTAAGCTCTTTGTAGGTTGTGTTGCCCAACCCAGGTGCCTTGTAGGCTGTCTATTACTGGGAAAAATTAAGCTGACATTTGGTTAATACTGTAGAACTCCTGTGTGCCTTGGTGTAGTCACTTCTAATCATACTGAATTCAAAATGCAAACTGATTAAGACTCTGCACTCTTCGGGCTAAGTGGGGAATGACCACGTTTCACTTGGTGGGAGGACCCTAGCTACCTCCTAAAAGAGTGGTAAGATAGGGCACAGCTTGAATTCCCACCAAAACCCTTTAGTCATTCTTTAATAAAAGCTGTGTTATGGAGATTATGAGAAATAGTGTGATAAACACTTAGCCTTCAACACTTACTAACATTTTGCCAGTCTTGTTTCATTTATTTATCTTCCCCACTTTTTTTGTGGGGGCTGGTATATTTTAAGGCAAAATCCTAAACATCCTATTATCTCACTCATAAATGTGTTTGTTTACATTTCTGATAAGGACTTTTTTCTTTGGAAACAAAAACAAAAACCAAACCCAATGACTTCTATTGTTTTTCATGTCTAAAAATAGTAACAATGATTTTTTAAAAGATTTTATTTATTTATTTATTTATTTATTTGAGAGAGGGAGACAAAACGAGCAGGGGCAGCACAGAGGGATGGGGGAAACAGACTCCCTGCTGAGCAGGGAACCCCAGACATGGGGCGCAATCCCAGGACCTCTGGATCATGACCTGAGCCAAAGGCAGATGCTTAATCGACTGAGCCACCCAGGTGTCCCTTAACAATGATTTCTTAATATGATTCCCATATTCACATATTCCCAAAGATCTCTTTTTACTTATGATTTGTTGGAATCAGGAACGAAACAAGGTCCATACATTGTTTTTGGGTTAGGGTTTTTGTTTTTTGTTTTTTAGTATTAATACTTTTTAAAAAAGATTTTATTTATTTATTTGACAGAGAGATAGAGAGCACAAGTAGGCAGAGGAGCAGGCAGAGGGAGAGGGAGAAGCAGGCTCTCCACTGAGCAGGGAGCCCGATGTGGGACTTGATCTCAGGACCCTGGGATCATGACCGGAGCCCGAGGCAGCCGCTTAACTGACTGAGCCACCCAACTGACTGAGCTACCCAGGCGCCCTTGGTTGTTAGGTTTTTAAATCTATATTATTTTATAATAGTCCTCCTTACCTACTTTTTTCATGCCGTTGATTTGATGGAAGAAGAGAGTATAGGTCATTTGTCTGGTAGAATGGTCCAATTTCTGGGCTAATTTCTCACTTGTGTCATTTAGCTTGTTTCTCCATTCCCATGTCTCCTATAATACAGCAGTTAGAATCGAGGCCTGATTAGGTTTAGGGTCAGAGTCAAGCATACTTTGTAGGTGGTGCTGTTAAAATCTGTTGTATCACAACCACAGGACATGTGATGTCTGCCTGTGTCTCTTTTTGAGATGGTAAGATTGATTAGTGGGTTCTCACCTTTCTACCTTTTACCTGATGACTGTAACATCCATAGATGGTTGTAGCCTAGATCCATTTCATTAGGAATTGCAGAATGGTGATGATTGAAATCTATCATTTCTCTTGCATTTATTATTTGGGTATTTTATCTGTAAAGGACTTACCCTCATGAACTATTTGGGTCTCCTGAAATTCAGATTGTGTAGGAAAAACAAGGAAGGGCTTAATTTTTTTCCTTTTATCAATTTTCTGAGTAATGATTTGGTACCCTAACAATCTCCCATGATAATCAATGAATTTTCTTTTTTTAAGTATTATAAGAATTTGTGGATCTCAATTTATGTGTTTCAATCCATTGCAGTCAATATTCTTTTGGACCCACAAGTTGTCCTTATCTACTCTATACTTTTTACAAGACCCCAGTAGTCTCTGATACCTTCCTTGCTTTTTGGCACAAGATACTTTAAGATTACCTTGTCCATGTCCTGCTCCAGACCTGAAATCAGCCATTTTCCCCAAAGAGCACTAATTCTTTTTACTAAAAACTGTTCATTTTCCTCCAGCCTTTGCCTCTCTTGGTGGTTGCGTTACTTTTTACCTTGGTCTTAGGCCTTCCATCTTAATTTTTTTATTTCTTCTTAAATTCTTCTCATCAGGCTGCTTCTAAGACTGTCATTTTCTCCCTCTAATAAAATAGCTGGTAACTACCATTCCCTCTTTCTATATATACTGTCAAATTGCTGGGACTGACTTATTTTGGGCTTTGACGGCTGTGATCTTTTCTGCAGTGTTCTACCAGTTTCTTCATCTCTTCAAAATCTGTTTTATTTACAGCAGACAGAATGATTCAGCAATTGTGCCAAATTGACTGTTCACCAAACGGTGACAGTCCGCTTTTGGATTAGTCTCCTCTC